ATCTTTCATATGAAAGCAATCAGAGAGATACCGTTTAAATTTGCCAATGAATTCTTCATTATTTCCTGCTATCACGAGATCATCCACATATACCAGCACACGAAGCTCGATGGAGCCGCGCAGAAGAGTAAACAGAGAGTAATCAGCCTTGGATTGGTGGAACCCAAAATGTTTTAACGCAGAGGTGAGTTTGGCAAACCAACACCGTGGAGCCTGACGAAGACCATAGAGAGATTTATGAAGCCGGCAAACCAATCCTTTACCGCGAGCGTTAAACCCGGGAGGAAGAGTCATGTATATTTCATCGCGAAAGTCTCCATGCAAAAAGGCATTATGAACGTCCATCTGATGTAGGAACCAGTTGCGGGCAACGGCAACAGCTAAAAGAGTGCGAACAGTAACCAACTTAGCCGTCGGAGCAAAAGTCTCTTTAAAATCGATGCCCTCTTTCTGTCGATTCCCAAACACCACCAAACGAGCTTTGTAGCGTTCAATGCTTCCATCAGACTTGTGCTTGATTTTATAGACCCACTTGGATCCAATTGTTTTCCTTCCAAGAGGTAGGGGGACGAGTGACCAAGTACCATTAGCTTCTAATGCTTGAATTTCTTCCTTCATAGCTTGTACCCATAGTGGGTTTTTGACCGCCTCAGAAAAGAATGTAGGCTCAACATCTGCACTTATAGCTGCCAAAAAACATCTATGGGAAACAGAAAATTTGTCAGCGTTAATAAAATTTGTAATACAGTGTGCTATACCTGAAGGCGTTGTTGGTTTGAGTGAATCAGGAGAGGGACGTTGAATGGTGTGAGTGACAAAGTCACGCAGTCGCGAAGGAGGACGACGTTCTCTTTTACTTCGGCGCAAAGTGTCTTGGGTTGGAAGGGTTTGGTTATCAAGGGTAGAAGAAGGCTGGACTGGGTCATCGGGTTGGCTGTTTGGTTCTGATGTTGCAGGGTTTTCTGGATTGGATTGGAGTAACGGTCGACCAGGGTCCTGAGAACAGTCCAGTGTTTCGACCGTCTGGGTGGCAGTGTCAGGTCCAAAGGGAGACGGTCGACTGTGGGTTGCTGGGCGGTCGGTCTTGTCGACCGTTTTGGTGGCAGATTCTTCACTGGGTATTTCTTCCTCAAAAAAATCAGCAGTGGGTTTGGGTTCTGTGAGATTGGGAGTATTTTGTGAATGGAAAGGAAAATGGTTTTCAAAGAACTTGACATCTCGACTGACAAATATTTTATTATTGTCCAAATCGAAAAGGAGCCATCCTTTTTGGCCGAATGGATAGCCAAGGAAAACGCAGCGTCGAGAACGGGACTCAAATTTGTCTCCATGGTGGGATTGATTGTGGGCATATGCAAGGCATCCGAAAACCCGAATATGACTATATGAGGGTGTTTTTTCATAGATCATGGAATATGGGGTTTTGCCTTTGTGTAGCTCAGAGGGTGTTCGGTTAATTAGATAGGCAGCGGTGAGAATACAATCACCCCAGAATTTAAGGGGTAGGTTGGCTTGGAAGCGAAGGGCTCTGGCAATGTTGAGAATGTGACGGTGTTTTCGTTCGACTTGACCATTTTGTTGTGGGGTACCGACGCAAGAGGATTCAAAAATAATCCCATGATTGTCAAAGAAAGATTTTAAACAAGTGAACTCTGTACCATTGTCACTTCGTGCAGTTTTCACTTGTTTATTGAATTGTCGCTCAAACATGGAAAAGAAATTACGCAAGACAGTAGGGGCTTCATATTTGTGATTTAATAGATACACCCGAGTTTCCCGAGAGAAATCATCAACAATAGTTAAGAAATATCTAGCCCCAGTGCGAGACGGAGTACGGTACCCACCCCATAAATCACAGTGAATCAAGGAAAAAGGAGTAATAGATTTATTCAGACTAATTGGAAAAGAGTCACGACATTGTTTTGAACGAAAACACACATCACAAGGGGAATCAGGGATATTGGTATCTTTGGGTAAATGGAGAAAAGTGTTGACAGTGGTGTAGGAGAGATGACCCAAGCGCTTGTGCCAAATGTCCAGATCCTTCGCCTCCTTCACACTGCAGACTTTGTCCTTCACACCTTTCTTGAGATAATATAGTCCTTCAGCCTGCTCACCCATTCCAATCACCATCTTTGAGATATAGTCCTGTATAAGACAAATTTTATTATTAAACTTGACAATTAAATTCTTTTTCTCAAGAAGTTGTGAGACAGGTATAAGATTGCAGTTGAGTTGAGGAACTAGCAAAACATTTTCTAAGGTGATCAAATTATCCACAATCACACTCCCCTTTTGGTTGGCTATCGCACAATCTCCATTCGGTAGGCCAACTGAGCAAGGTTTTATTGCTTCCAAATTTTCAAGACACTCCTTATCACCGGTCATATGTTGACTCGCTCCACTATCAATGATCCAAGAAGTGTTAGTCATACTTGAAAATTTACTTTCCATACCCGAATCTTTCTCGTTTAAGAGTCCCATGAGTGCATTCCATTGATTGGTTGTGAGAGAACGGAGATTTGGTTGATGGAGCGCACGTCCCCCATCCGTTGCGTTGGCCTGAGCCGTATGTGCCGCCGGTCTGCCTGCTGGACCGCCACCAGCTCCGCCGTGGTTACCTCAGCCGGCGTTGCCCCCCCTGCCGCCGCGCCGTCCCCCTGTGTTGTTGCCGCGGCCATTACCTCGTCCCGGGTTCAGGATACGTGGGCGATCTCCCTACCATTCAGGATATCCAATGAGTTGAAAGCAACCACTCTTCTCGTGTCCGCTCAACCCACAATGTTTGCATTTTAAATCCTTAGTTGCGTCACGGTCAAATTTGGAGGTGACGACAAAGCCCACCAGGTTACGTTCCTCTTCTTGAGTAGTCTTCAAGACCCCTTCCTGCTGGATAATGGTGGAGTATACGCAATTCAGAGGTGGAAAGGGTTCTGTGGCAATGATGTTAGATCGTAGACTCCCATATCCTTCGTTATCCAATCCCATCAGAAATTGGTGAACCTTTTCTATGTCGCGTTGGATGGCAAGCACTTTGTTTATCCCACACTTGCATCCATGGCACTTGCAAGCGGGAATTTTTTCATGATCGCCGAGTTCGTCCCATATGGTTTTTAATTTTCCAAAGTACGTAACGATGGACTGACTGTTTTGCTTGCAATTTGCAAGTTCCTTCTTCAGTTGATGAATTCGAGGACCGTTTGCAACAGAAAAACGATCTTGGATGTCCTTCCATAGTTCTGCTGCTTCTTCTACTTGTGTGATGGAGTTTCTCAGGCTGCCATCAATTGTGTTGTAAATCCATGAGACCAACATGGCATTCACAATCCACCATTCTTCATAGTTTTCATCTCCCTCTTCTGGACAAGGGATGGATCCGTCGATGAATCCAATTTTCCGTTTTGCACGGAATGCAATTCTCATTGCACGAGCCCATTCTTCATAATTATCACCGTTTAGTTTGACTTGGGTGATAATTAATCCAGGTGTGTCTGCNGTTTTGCTTGCAATTTGCAAGTTCCTTCTTCAGTTGATGAATTCGAGGACCGTTTGCAACAGAAAAACGATCTTGGATGTCCTTCCATAGTTCTGCTGCTTCTTCTACTTGTGTGATGGAGTTTCTCAGGCTGCCATCAATTGTGTTGTAAATCCATGAGACCAACATGGCATTCACAATCCACCATTCTTCATAGTTTTCATCTCCCTCTTCTGGACAAGGGATGGATCCGTCGATGAATCCAATTTTCCGTTTTGCACGGAATGCAATTCTCATTGCACGAGCTCATTCTTCATAATTATCACCGTTTAGTTTGTCTTGGGTGATAATTAATCCAGGTGTGTCTGCGTTCTTGAGTTCGTAAGAAATTTCCCTTCGTAGGGATCTTCTCTTCCTCATCGAAGAGCTTGCCGACGAGATTTTCTTCTACTTCTGGCATGTCAACGGTCGAGGAGGATAGTTCGGCGGTCGAGGTCGGTGATCCGGCGGAAGACAGGCTTGAACCGGCGGAGGACAGTGATGGACCGTCGTTTGTCTAGATTAGGGTTTTCCCTAGGAACTTGGCTCCGATACCATGTAGAAATTAATAAGAGAGAAAATAGTTTGTATATTGAATTGTTCTACCAATTACAAGGGGTTTCTCCTTTATTTATAGGAGAGGAAAAAGACCAAAACACAAAAGGAATTCTACTCCTACATAGAAACAAATCACTAAATATGAACTAGGAAACAAATCAAGAGCAATCCCACTTAGAATGGGATTTGCTTTCCTTCTTGCCTTGTGGTCCAAGGAACACGGCCCAACAATAAACAATCAAATAAATAAATAAATAAAAAGTAGGGTGATAATACATCATTCTCAACATAAAATCATACATTCCGGGAATTACATTTTGGGGTTTCCAGACTGGAGGATAGAGTCCCATCACTTTCTTGATGGTCCACTTCATCTTAAAGTTGGGTATGTAGTAGCCCTAATGTTTTATTATAAGTCAAAATAACTTTCGAAATTAAACAAATGAAAATAGGTAACTAGTTTAGGGTCCATATAATAGAAGTACTATGAATTCGAATAAAGAAAACATGTAATCATTTGATAATTTGAAAGTAAAGGGTGAATGCTGCTTTTCCTTTCTCATTGTATGAGTAATGTGAATAAGTAGCCCAAAGACGATATGATTTGAACGATATAGGTACGAAGTCGCTTTGAATATTTCTTGTGAAATTAAATGAGTTTTACTATGTTCAACGAACAACTCATTTGACACGAACTTTGTACCTCTTGCATCGTCCACCTTTTTACAAAAGGATTGTAGTATTTATTGTGTAACAGTAGATAGAATGACTTTTTGTTTTGAGAAATTCACTCTAGTTCCAATCCATCACAAAATCCATTGACAGTGGCATAAATGACTATAATTTGTTTTTCAATTGGTGATGGTGCATATTGTGGTTTTTTCCGTATTTCTGTCAACCTTGCAACTCTATTAAAAATGCATGAGCCACTTCATTAAGGTCTAAGCCAAATTGAGCAAAGGCGGCGACTATGCGATATTGTGCTAATTCCAGTTTTAAACTACCACATACTTGTTTCAAAGCTTCCAATTGAGCGGAAGACCCGACGCGACGGACAAATTAGCCGACATTAATAGCAAGTCTAATTCTACGATAAAAGAGCTCTATTTCCAAATAGATTTCTCCATCAGGGAGATACGTCTCTAGCTTGTGTTTCAATGACGGGTAAGGAGGTCAAGCTTAGTGTGCTTGCCTAGTTCGATCCTTTAGAAGCTCTTTGTAAAAGACTAGAATGTAAATAGAAAACATTGCATGGTGGTGATGATTGGAAAAGGTCTACAGTAAAAGGAGGAAGAAATTTAGTGATGAAGATGAAGAACATGACGAAAAGTGATAATGATTAAGCGAGGAATGGAAACAAGGGAATTGGGCGTACGCGTGTGGTGTATAAATAAGATTTAGGTAAATTTCCAATTATATTTCAATTAGGATTGATTCAAAGCCCAAATACCTTGTCCGTCAATTGTATCTCAACCCAATGTCTTTGATTTATTGTTTGTTTGTGTTGTCGGGTTCAGATGTGCAAGCTCTTCAAGATTATAATAATATAATTTCCCAATTAAAAACCAAAATTTCTAAATTAACATCATCCAATCCAACTCCTTACTTAAATTAATAATACGAAAATGGGTTTTAGTGAGTTATCAAATATTTATACATGCATCAAAAGTCAAAACTATAAGCTATAAGCTTCATATTAATTATAAGCCACAAGTTGGTGTAGGTGTTCCGGTCCTAGTCCATTTTTTTTGAATATTTTAATCAGGATATTTTATGTATCTATTTTGGGAAAAACAAAAATTGTTATATTTTTTTTAGGTTATATAAACAGATATATACATATAAACGGAACAACGGGAGGGAATGGGAAAATTTGTATGTGTCCTAGTCTCGTCGCATTTCAAAATGTTTCAAAATGGGTTCGAAACAAAATTTTGTCCTCCTAAACAAAACAGAACATTATAGGGACGAACCAGGATATTCTGCGTGAGAACAACGGGTTCGGGATTCTTGCCCACACTTACTATTTGAGCTACATAGAAAGCTCTGAATAATGGTATTTGGGATCGTTGTATCCCTTCTCCCAGCATAAGGCAAACTGGGATCTAAATACCTACAAAGGCTCGGCAAAACAGCCTTTGGTGGTAACGGTGGATGTTGGAAGAGAGGTTGGCTTGAAGCCGAGGAGACATGGATTTCAGCTCGTAATAAATCCCTCTTTTGAAAGTATGGTGTTGGATGTCACAACTCCTTTTCATGAGTAATTTAAAAAAGCCTTTTGTGCCCTCAAGATCCTTTGTTGGTGGAGACCTTGGCTTCCAAGGAAGCACTTTCATTGGTGAACACACAAGAATTAAAGATCTGGTGTTTTCTTTGGATTGTTAAGGCACTTCAAGAGGACACTGCGTCACTTTCTTCATATTTTGGTTCTATTAATTAGGAGTGTAAGGCATTGTCGTTCTCATTCTTTTTTTTATATACTTTGTTATGTTCGTCGTGAAGATATTGTTATTGCTTTATGTTGGCTCAAATGGTAAAGTACCATTCTTTTGTATGGAATTATACCCCTCCAGACTTTACCATACCGCTTTAGATGCATTAATAAAAAGAATTGAGTAAATTTTCTAAATAGTCCTTTATAACTGGGGGTTCCCATATTTAGTCCATATTTATCAAATATTATGTTGACATCTCGTATTAATTAGGTATCATTCCATGTTTGGTCCTCCGTCTATTTTTCCGTCTCCATGTCGTTAAAAAGGACTTAACGTGAAGTGGTACCCAATCAATAAAGATTGCCAAAACAATATTTGATAAATATTGAATAAATATAGAAAATCCCCAATTATAAAGAACTATTTAGAGAATCTACTCTTTTCAAACCACTTGTAATATTGAGAAATTGAAATTTGTACAACATTAAAAATAGTTTACCAAAATTTTCATTTCTTAATAAGAGAATTATTTTGGAATAGATAGAAATTAAAAACTAATTAGAAATCATCACAAATATGAGTAAAATATGCTCCCTCTGTCTGAAAATGTTCTTCTCATTTGACTTTTCACAGCCTTGTATGTTGCACTTTGACCATCAATATCTATATATTTATACATAGATATATTTAAACAAAATAGATATTTGAAAACTACGTTTCAATACAAGGATATTGATATTATTATATCATAATACAATCTATTTTTCCATATATTGGAATCAATGTTTACAAAGTTTGACCAAGAAAAGTCAAATCAGAAGAATATTTTCGGACGGAGGGAGTAGAATTTATCATCAAAATAAGAATGTCATGTTTTTTTTCTCAAAATACGAGTTTGTACCGTGACAAAATGACAATGTATAGTGATATTTTATTGTATTTTTGGGTACTATATATTGGCATTATTAGCATGACCAAATAGCGTTAGTACCCGCGTGGTTTGAAAAATAGGCACCAAACCCCCTTATTTTCAAAACATATTTCTAAAATTTCTGTGGTTTCAAAACGTTGCACTCATACCCCCTATGGTCAATTTTCAGCCATGAAAGGGGCATTGGTGCCTATTTTCCAAGGATCATGCTAGGGTGCCACCACATGTGTGCTACCAACCCATGTTTTGCACAGACAAACACAGACGATAATTGTGTGTGCGACACAAACAATTATCGTCTGTGTTTGTCTGTGCGAAGCATGGGTGCACCCATGGTAGCACCCATGTGGTGGCACCCTAGCATTTTCCATTTTCCAAAGCATAGGAGACATTAGTGCTCATTTCATATATTTTTGTTTGTTTTTTATTTTTTCCTTTTTTGTTTCTT